CTGGATCCCTTGTCCCCTTGAAAGATGGCATCTTCATCTTTATACTATTTATATTATCATCTTCTACTCTACCTCTTTGTCCCCTCCTATCTCTTCTTTCTAGATTAAATTCAACATCAAAATCATCATTATCATATTCAGGATTTACAAAAGGGATATGGGGTACATTCCTTCTAACTTGGGGTCTAACATTATTTGGGGGTACAACATTATTCTCCCTCCTAATTGCAGCTATGGTGTCATTCTGTTCGATAATCATATCCCTCATCTCTTGAAATTGAAGGGTCCATCTCTCAAATTGTTGGTGCATAGCTTGAAGGGTGAAGTCGTTCCTTCCTTTGACCTCGGCTTCTAAACGAGCCCTTTCCTCATTACCACCTGAATTAGACATCTAAAAAAAAAAGAATAAATGATCAAGTATCACACTTTTAATATGGCTTTTACCCTCTTTTAAACTCACCCACACTTGCCTTTTTCCACTCAAAATCACCTTTGAACGAGAATACTTTGTAGATTTATAATTAAACCAAAACGTGTATCAAGTTCGTAGTAATAAAGTATGGAATCTTGGGGTACAAAAGAAAGTAAAGAACTAGTCCTAGAACAAGTAGGATTTAGTTGAAACAAAACGCGAATAAAAAGGAACTTATTTTAGAATTATAAGAACAAGAAAAAAAAAAAATTCCTCTTATTCTTAAAGGTCTAGAATCCCCTCTTCTTGCTACCTTCTTGCTTGGAAACAAATTAATGCAAAACTTGGAGAGCAAGTAATAAGTTTACTTGGAGAGCAAGTAATAAGATTTCTTGAATAGCAAGTAATAAGCTTTCTTGGGTATCAAGTAATCAAATTTCTTGGAGGACAAGTAATCAGATTTCTTTGAGAGCAAGTTATAACTTTTTTTTTTTTGTTCACGCAACTGTAATAATTTTTTTTTATTTTTTTTTCACGACGCTACTGTTCACGTTTTTTTTTTTTTTTTTTTTTTTTTGTTGCTCTAAGAAGAAATCCCAAGATTTATCAAGAACGGAATCTTGATAGAACCGCTCTGATACCACTTGATAACAGCAAGGTTAAGGGAGATCACAAATAGAGAATTAAATATTAGAATGCGGAAGCACAAAGAAAAGAAACAAAAAAAACTAAATAAAGATATGGGAAATTCAAAGGAAAGATCCACGAATTTCCAAAGATTAGATGTTCTAAGGCCTTGAAAAGATCCAAGTAACAACGTATAGATTTATGGAAGAAATCTAACGCCTTTACTTGAGAAAACGAATCAAAACGATAGATTCGGATCTTGACCGCTTTATGAGTAACTAAAGACAATAATTAGTATGTAGAAACTAATCACCTTCTAAAGAATACCAAAAAGAAACCAAAGATATCACAAGAAGAAGTTACTTTATACCTTAAACTATGAAACTAGTAAATGTTTAAAGATAAATTCTCAAAGAACAAGTCACAAAGGTTCAAAGAACTCTCTCAAATATTATTAATATCAATCTAAAAATTGTCTTTAATGAATGAAAAGGACTCCTATATATAGGAGAAGGGAAAAACGTCCAAGAAGCCAAACCCTAAAAAAAATAATTACAAGGAATCCTACTCTAGAAAGGAAATAAAGTAACCTAACTAGGAACACATTTAGTACTTCTAGGAAAGCATTAAATGGTACTTAGGAGACCATAAATAGACTAAGGGAAATATTAATAACCTATATATAAATAAATAAATAAGGTAAATCCCAACTAGGAAAATAATCTTGACAATCTTGGAAAGTTTGACTAGTCTTCTCTCAAAACTTGGGCAGAAAGCAACTCTTGTTGTGGCTGATTCTTGGACTCTTCTTGACCTTTTTTGCACGAAATTGGACCTTAAAATTCCTCATCTTGGGCTTGAATTTGGGCCACCAAATAATTGTAGCATTTGGACAATTCCTCTCCCTTGGGCTTGAGCTCTTCTTCCCCAATAAGAAACCTTTGGATCAGCGATTGAAGCCCATTGAGCTTATCATTGAACTCCTTGGTTTGAGATCTTGTTATGGGCCTCCTTGGAGTTTCTAAAGCGTCATCCTTGTCCTTCAATGGAGTAGAGCTTCCTTGGATGCTATCAGTGTGGCATCTGCTTAGGCTCTTCAAGTAATAGAGTTATTATTTGGTTGTGAGATTAATAGCTTTTTCTCACTTTGGTTGTAACTAGGTTTCACTTTTGCTTATGGAAGATTAGTGGAAACAGTTGAAAATCCTGTGTGACAGGTCGTGGTTTTACTCCCTTGAGCAAGGAGGTTTCCACGTAAACTGCTTGTGTTGGGTTCTTGTTATTATTTACTCTTCGTTATTGTACTTGTGAGTCAAGGGACCTGGTCCATTGACTAAGAGTGGACGCACGCATTCTATCAAATATGTTATGTGAAAAGTTGAAATTAAAGAGTTGCTAAAAAGGAAAAAGTTGTTCTTTTTTAAACGAATTAAAAGAGAAAGTAGGCTAAAACAAATTGAATTGGAGGGAATCATTCTTTTCCCCAAGCGTGCTTGTTTAAAAGAGTGGGGGTGTTTGACCAAGATTTTGAGAGAAATATAAGTGATTTTAGGAAATAGCAGGAGTTGTTTGCTAAAACAAATTAACAAAAAAAAAACTCCAAAAACATACATATTATTTGTCAAAGTTAATAAAAATAAATAAATGTGAAACTGATAGTACTGAATCTGTTGATGATCATCTAATGGATGATTTATGAGAGGAGTTAGGATCATCAATTAGATTATTACACTCTTCACTTCATCATCACTGTCATTCTTTTCTACGGGTTATTCCCTTGGGGTCGTTTGGTGTGAGGGATAAGAATATAGTCCTGGGATAAAAAAATAGTCCTAGAATAAAAGTTTGATGTCTTGTTTGGTTGACATGTTTGGGATAACTTATCCCACCATTTATATCATAGTGATAGGATAAGTTATCCCATATAAAGGGTGGAATAAGTTATTCCAAGATAACTAACCCCAGGATAATTAATCCTGGGATAACTAGTTCCCAACCAAACTATTTATATATGCTTCTTCATTTTTGTCCAAGAAAAACTTTTGTCTATTTTCATGTGTTATTACGATTTATGGGGTGGCTGCTATTTTTTATGGTGAAATATATAGATTTGTTACTAATATGATGGCAATGATAGTGGTTTCATGGTGGTGTTCATTGAAGAAGAAACAATTGAATGACATGGAGAATTTCATTCAAAAAATCTGACATGACATCTAGTGTGGCAATGAGATGACATTGTTGTGCGCAAGTGTGATACACCTCTCATTGTGAGAGTGATGCTATACGTCTAGGGGTCATAATAAATTCACTTTTTAGTAGTAGAGGTGTGTAAAAGGTCACCATATTAATTTAAACATGTAACTGGTTTTTCGGGACAAATTCAGAAGTGCATTTATGCCCTTTTCCGGGATAAGACATAAATATCCCCTAGACTATGACCGAAATCTTAGAAACACACATTAACTAAACTAAGGTCTTATTACCCTTGAACTCATTTTTTTGTATTGTCTAATGTGGCATCCTCCGTGACTCCACACAATTGAGGCGCGTGAGAGATATTTGGATGCCATGTAAGCCAAAAAGGTGTACAAATTTACAAAAAAAATTGGGTTAGAGGGGTAATAGGACCTTAGTTTAGTTAAGGTGTCTCTGAGATTTCGATCATAGTTTAGGGGGTACTTGGTACCTTTTCCCCCTTTTTCCTAGTATTAACTTGGAATTGCTTTAAAAATTTATAAATTTCAGATTTTGCTTCGTCAGACTTACCTGCACTAAACTCTAGGTATAGGTAGTAGAAAAGAAGATTAGGTTAGTCTTAACCTTTTGACTAGTTGATTGCTGAAGGGTAGATGAGACTTGAGAATTGTATATATAGATAGTTAATCTCCACAAACTGTTGGCTCAATTAGCGAAGTCTGTATTAACATATATGTTTGATTGTTAGTACTAGTAAAGAGGCAAGTGATCATGGGGCAAAGAGGACCTAGACCAGGAGGGCCACCTGGGTGGGGCCCTCCTCAAGGTCCGGGAGGACCACCGATGCCTGGACCAGGAGGACCACCTAGATTGGGTCCTCCTCAAAGTCCGGGAGGACCACCGATGGCAGGACCTTGTGGCTTCTTTAGTAGTTTTTGCAACCCTATAGGCTCCTGGTAAAACATTCTTCAATATAGCTAAATTTATCTTATTTGTTGTTTCTTTAACCTGACTTGCTGTTTAATATTGTACAGCCTAAGCTTTTTTTGCTGCTGCTGGTTGTTACAAGACTGTTTTGGTCACCCAATGGGTTCACCTGGCCCTCCAAGACCTTATGGACCTCCTCCACCTTGATCCTAAGGGAAGTACTGAAAGACTTTAAAAGAAGAAAAGAAAGCAAAAAAAAAAAAAAAAAAAAAAGCAAATGATATGATCTCAGTTCAGAATTGTGATCTAGTTGTCCCTTCTTTTGCATAATCTCCCTTTATTTTTCCTTTTCTGGTGGCTTTCAATGTCAATTTCTCTGAAAAATTTAGGTCATTTTGGCTTATAATGTCAAAGACTAGAAGGGTTCTATCTTGCTAAAAAGAGAAAGATCCATTTATGTGAAATTCTTCCAGAACTGCTATGGGTATTGACTAGTATAAGAATATTGATATTACCTTAAGAAAAGTTATGCAACAAAACAACTCTGTGTGTGTTGGGTAGATGTTTGTCACCGAAGTTCTCAACTACAAACTGGTTAGGGTAAAGGTTTAACCGTTCAAGTGCAAAAACAATACCTGAATTGGAATGATATTTCATATTTGCCTTGATCTTTGTGTAATCAAACTTGGAATTTTAGGTGCCATTTATTAAGACACTGCTCTCAATTACAAAACATTATCCAAAAGGGGTGAAGGCAGCTGAAAAGAATGCACAAAAGAGAACATGTCAACCAGATTTCATAAAAACATGATTCAAACAATATAACAAAGAGAACTTTGTCAATTACACAAATTTGAACAAGACAACAAACTTCAAAAGCTATAATTTAAGCACTACAGCTTCCTAGGATTATGAGGGTTAAGAAAGAAACAACATCATTTACAAGAGCAGCTTCTGTTCTAGCGGAGACGGTATTAACACTATTCTGCTTTATCGAGAAGATTATTCTTGTTCCACTTGAGTAACTCTTCTGTGTGTCAGCTGAGGGCTCGTGTATTCAGAGTCATTTTCAGTTGAGATGTTGGATGAGACAGATGAACTGGGAACTGAACTCGAAACGGGGTTAGGACTACTTACTTGACTCCTAAAGCTCTGAGAAGCAACATGTTGGGAAGTCCTGGAAGTTTCAGGAGCAGGATTTCCCTGAGCTTCAGCAGCTAGCCGTCGAAGAAGGTCCATAACAGTTGGGAGGAACCTTGATGACATAGAAATAAGTCCAGTAAACTGCAGAAAAGGAAAGCTAACTTCAGTGAACTCACATAAAGTAGGAGACGGGATATAAGCAAAAAGTATCTCATCAAGAGAAGATCATAACACACAACATTCTGCAGTACTACAATAGCAATTTCAGTAAAATATCAGGAATGGGGGGAGGTTCACAAGGCAAGGCATCCTTAAAGAATATCAGACTACAATAATAATTATAGTTACTCGATGCTTCTTCCCCTCTAATTACCAATCTTACTAATATTTACTGTCATCTCAATATTCTATGAGTTGGCGATCTGTTCAAGGTTATCTTGGCAATGGTTATGCTGCAATTTATCAAAATTATTGACTAGTGGAAAAGTGTTTTAGTCGGATCTTAAAATTCTGAACCACAGAGAGATTGCATTCTCAAGATCAAGAATCTAATTCAAAGGGCTAAGCACTGATCAGTGAGCTTAAGACAGTACAAAATAAATGACGTTGGCACTCATACAGCTTTTGGAAATTTGTTTTCCCAAAGTTCTAAAGAAAATAACTCTGTTTGGAAGACCATTTGAAGGGAAAGTTTGAAGAAAAATTGTATTTGGATTGGGTGTTTCTGACAATAGAAATCTACAGCTGGTAACCCTTCACCTTGCTAACACACTTCCGAGTAATCAAAAGCTTGTCCCCAGGTGATCTTTAAAAAATAAAAGCATAACATTAAAGGAGTTGTGAAAAGCAACTTTTAACATAATAGCAGGTAGAAAAAAGATGGAGATCAACAAGAAAGCAAAAGCACCAACCAAAAGGATGCTATGGTGATGAGATTCAAACTCTATTAGGCGAATTTTGAAATAAATAGGGTCAGATTCAGTCTCCTGCTGACCACAAATGTTTCTTTAGTCTTCTCGAAACATTTTGTTGTTTAATTTGTTTCCACTATCGCAATATTTTGTTGTTCTTGTTCCTTTCTGGTAGGCTTTGCACTGTTTTCTTTGTTAGTTGCTATGTTTTTCTACACTGTTTTCTTCTTCTTTGTACTTGGATTTGCTGCTCTTGAGCCGAGGGTCTTTTGGAAACAGCCTCTCTACCTCCACGAGGTACTGGTAAGGTCTACGTACACTCTACTCACCCTCCCTAGACCCCACTTGTGGAATTTCACTGGGTATGTTGATGTTCCTGACGAGCACGTAAATTCAAAATGAGGCTGCTCATTTCGTGGTGCGAGGGGATGCTTCCCCAAACCCTAAGGAACAAGTGGCGGTGGAAGAGTCTACTGCACTAGGACAACTGTCGATGCCAAACAGACCACTAGTGATGGTGGACAAACTGGAAATGTGAAGAGTGGCTGGAATACACTCTTTACAGGGAATAAGCTTGCTGAGAAAGGTATGAGTCTCAACTTCATACCCCCTAAGGTGCAGAATGGTATCAAGGTGGTAGAATTAGTGAAAGCTGAAGTGGACAAGGAGAGTGAACAGAGGAATGGACAGCCTATAAGTACTGAACTCGACTACATACTCTGTTAGTATAAGACCTTGAGAGGTGACTTCCATAAAGTGCCATGGAGAAGATTTATTTGCAACAACACTGGTGCCCCAAAGTGGATTTGCTATCCGGAAGCGACTGTATACTCGAGATAGGCTTATGAAATGGAGGCTTATTGATCAGAATACCTGCCCATTGTGTGAGGTTCAGGAAGAGTCAGGGAACAAGCTCTTACTCTGGCAGAATTACCAAACAGATGCACTTAGCTGGGACAATGAGCTGAAATGGATGATGGCCCATGTGAATGGACGAAATACGACAACAGAAGTGTTCAGAGTTATTGTTGCTGGATGTGTGTGCTTCCTCTGGCAAGAGAGGAATACTAGTCTTCCAAGGCAAGAGGAGATACCCTGCATCCATCACTAGATTGATTATCAGGAGAGGGTAAGGAGAGCAAGTTTCACGCCCAAACTAGCTAGTAGACTAGATGCCCTTAATTTTTATCCTTGAGCTGCTGGTATAGTCTAGGATGTTCAAGTTAATTTGCAAGCTGGAATCATGGGACTATGTCCATGAGCCAGCGTTTACTTTGAGACTTGTACAAAACGGCACTTCGGTCAATAAAATCCTTTATATACCAAAAAAAAAAGTTCAAAATGAGGCAAAGCCATGATACTTAAAGTTTTGGGTTCAAATCTTCTAGTCATCGCAAAAAAACAATTTCCACTTGTAGGACCAATGACAAAACAATCTGCAGCATGATCAAACACTCCACTGTGCATGATCACCGAACAAAAACTAAGCTCTTTGAGATCACCTGCACCAAGACATGTTGCAAAGATAGAGAACAAACTTCTCTCAAAGAAAAACAAAAGCAAAAAGAAAAAAGTTGCATTGCCAATGCTTAAGGCTACCGTAGGCCATACCCTCCCTGCGCTATGAACTAAGCTGTTCCTCTCCCAAAATAAACAAGCAATACCCCCCCTCCCCCCACCCGACCCCCAACATGGAATGGCATGGCACAAGGCACCTACACCAATTTCTTGCTCACCTAAAAGAGTCATATCTCTAAGCTCACAGGCGTGTCTCCACCATTAGGGTCGCAAGTAGCTGCAGTTGAGGGACAAAAAGGACATAACTTCTGATAGTATTTTTCGTTCTTCTTTATAGAGTACCTCCCTCGACAACCAAATAAGATTTTACAGTCTCATAAATTTCCAGATAAGGTAGCACAAGCGAGCAATATAGACATGTTAATATTTAATACATAATTTCAAGCATATCAGCACTGTGGCTGGATGCACTCACTCTTCCTTTCCTTTTTCCCCTTCCCCATTCGGACTTTTTTGGTTTTTGATAACTGAGAAATGTTCGAGGGTTGGTGCATGGTTCAAAACAGGATGGATAATGGGTTTGCCTCTTATCCCTTCTCAACTTAAATATCAGGCTTCGCCCATGACACGGTGTAAACCCATGACGTGAGCTTAACCCACACATCATGCCCTATGCTCTTTCCACTAGGACAAAGCCCTGGAGACTCAATTCGAATCCATGGTTCAGAAAACAGTACTTGCATCTTGAATTCCACAGGGGAAAAACTTTACTCTAGCATTTTTATTTTTAAATTTTTCTTCAGACAAGCTGAAAACAAGTCATAGAACACGTATCAATGGTCATCCAACCTAAAAAAGTATGATGTTGAAAATAAGATTGTGCCCCCAATCATCTCCATCTTGAAAAATATTTTGTGTGTCAAATCTTTTGTTATTCATGGAGGGAAACATAGACAGCAGATGCTCAGATAAGGAAACAGTTGGTTCAAACAACCCATCTTATGCTCAAGAAAACGGTGAAACCATAAATGATAATAAGGAACAATTATTGTACTCACAGTGCCATTCCGGAACTCCCCAGGAATGTCCATCTGTATCCACAGAGCTTTCCCAAATAAATATACAACAAAAAGAATGAAGAGGTAGAGCGGATTTCTGTGACAACAGCAACTGAATTAGGTTGAAGATAAAGTATGGAAAAAAATAAAGAAAGTGCAGTAGAAATAAGTACCTTAAAAGAAGCATGAATTCGTTGAAACCAAGTATAATCATAGCGACTATAGCCCAGGCAGGAGGTAACCAATTATTGCTTCGCCTGTGTGCTTCCTGAAGCGGAAAGAATTTCATGCATCAAAACGGTCCCAGTACTTGAAAGTGATTGTAGATTATGTCCTCAATAGGTGAACACAGAGATAATTGAGAAGCAGTAAAACTGTGTTATGTATTACACTCCTTAAAAGAATAAGAACAATAAGAAAGACACATATTCAGTGTGGCAAGTATCACATGAAAATAGTTAAAGGTGCACAGAAAAAGTAATCCTGCATGAAATATACAATATAGGATATGCAAAAGTCCTGTATTTGCAGTTGAGCAATGGGAGAACTTGCAGAAAGTGAATAGGGCAAACAGGAAAAAGGATCCCTATAGTCTAGACAATGCATTACAAGAAAGTGCATAGGGCAAACAGGAAAAAGGATCCGTAGGAACCACCTAAATCAATATATTCAACTAAAACACAAGAAATACTTCAATCAAGCAGCATGCAACACTTTATGCACATTGACAAAACCGGACAAGCCTTTTCAATTAACTAATCAACCAATCGCAGTGCCTCAATCAATCACTGAATGAGGCTTTTCCTTGAAAATAAAATAAAATAATGGCTTTGATGGATCCTCTTAAGGTAACCCATAAAGTGGGAATATTCATTGATTCTCTTTTTCATTTGTATTGCAAAAAAGAAATGACATTACCATTTCATTTCTAGTGGTATTCGGAGTGATTAATGTACGTATGGCATTAATCCACAGGGCAAAATTAAAAGATTCCAATGGAAGATCCAAAGGAGACTGCTTAGCTGGAAAACGAGGCTCAGGGTGTTGTGTTCCATTAGTTGCATCTCATCTAGTGTCTCACTCACATTGACACCTCTATTTTACTTGCTTTCTACCCCGCTTCCAACCTCCCGGAAAAGAATAAGAATATGAGCCTGTTTACATTTCATCCTCTTTGCTGCTGACATTGTTTTGTCAGACACACCCGTATTGCAAAAGCTAAATTTTGTTAAATGGGAAGGGAAGTCCATCTGTTTGATGAAATTAATGCTCCACCTGAAAAACATCATGTGAGAACTTATGGGTGGTATTCTGTACCAGACTGTCAGCATTAGTAGGGCAGACCTACATAGTGTCAAGAGGGTTCATATGAACCCGCTTCATCAAAAAATTACCCTGTATATATAGGTATATTTGGTTTGTCTTTGAGGCAAAATACAAGTATAAATTAAAGGGATAATACATATATTGGACCTTAAACTTGGCTTAAAATTTTAACTTTGACCTCCAACTTTCATAGTGCACAAACAGACACTTTAACTATCCAACCTTTTAATAAATAAACACGCGTGTCTTACCTGGCAAAACGCGTGATGTGCACGTATTTTGCGCGAGTAGGAGTAATTTTTGAGGCCTACAACAGTAAAAAAAATGCTGAAATGACAACTCTACCCTTAATTAATTTTTTTTTTTTTTTTAGTTCTAAAATGGACGTGTAAAGTATTTAATTAGCTGGCAGCCATTGAGTGGCTCACTAATACATGTGGCAGCATTTGCATTTCACGCTCTTGGCTCCAAAAATCGCGTGTTTATTTATTAAAAGGTTGGATAGTTAAAGTGCTTGTTTGTACACTATGAAAGTTGGAGGTCAAAGTTAAAATTTGAAGCCAAGTTTAAGGTCCAATATATGTATTATGCCTAAATTAAATATTGAGCCCCCCTTGAGCCATCAATTGCCTTTGGTCCAGAAAATCCCATCATTGTCCAGGGAAAAACACTTTCAAAAGAGATTTCAAACAACACAAGATTATTGAGAGTGTTTTTTAAGCACAAAACCAAAGAAGACGAAGAAAGAAGAAGAAATTTTGCAAGTTCGAAAACAATCAAAAGAATTGAGTACCAACTGCCAAGCAGAAATTGAGGAAGAACTTTTAAATCGTAGCAACTAAAGCAAAGGAGGAGTATTGGGATTTGTTTTCACTTACCCCAGCAATTTTTAGCATAATAAGTTGCCTAGGTTTAGGATGAATTTGAAATTAAAATTTCCATTAGGTTATTTTAGTTGTTGAGATTATTTAGCCTTTTTGAATTTTTGTTATGCAAATTATGTTTTCAAGTTGGCTATTTAAAGCACTTCTATGCTTAATAAATTTTCAACCCTTTTTTGTTGCCCCATCTTTTATAATAACCAACAAAACTACACTATTTTTAGGTTTTTTCTTTAAACAAAATCTAAAAAAAAATAAAAATAATTCCCAATTTTCAAACCCTTCATTGCCTCTGACAAGTTTAAATTCAAAGTTTCATTACTTCCATAGCAGTCTCCCTTCTTGTGATTGGCCTTATTATTTTGATTAAATAATATATTTTAATTATTTATTTAATAAAATTAATTAATAATTAAATATAATTATAAATTGTTTAATATTATTTAGCTTATCGACTTTTTTGTGCATCTCCTTCTTTATATGTTGAACCTCCTCGATGAAAATTCTAGTCCGCCACTGAAGCATTAGGTACTTTTGTTTCAGCAAAGCAGACAACAGCAAGAGTGAGAGCAAGGTTAGGAATCTGCTCTAGCCTTTTTAGTCTTTGTATTTGGCAGGAAGCAACTATCAATGGGGAGTATAAAGAGTATAATACATTTTAGCATTTTAGAAGAAAGGGAAAAGGGGTCAAAATAGCTTAAGACAGTTGAAACCACTGCTGCACTAGTCAAATCAAAATCAATTTGATTCAATCAACATGGCGTGTCATTGAAATATGCATGGACACTAGATCACACTGAAAGTATGGGACAGACGATCCAAAGCCTAGTATTGAAGAATAACTCAGAGTATCTCTGAGATAAGAACTGAGAAAATATCTAAGATGGTCACTCAACTATGCATTATTCTCTCAAAAGTCACTTAACTTTGAATTTTAACTCAAAAGTCAGTTAACTATGAGTTCTTTTCTCAGGAAGTCACTCAACTTTGAATTTTAACTCAAAAGTCACTCAATTATGAGTATTTTACTTACAAAGTCACTCAACTATGATTGTTTTACTTACAAAGTCACTTATATTTAATTATATTTTAAATAAAAAATTGTTGGTATAATTTTTCTTTTTATTTAAAATATTTTTTAAAAAGGTATTATCCATTTAAATTATTTAATGATCCGACCCGCTAAAAATATAGTATTGATCTATTTTATTTTAATTGGAATTCAAAAATAATACGGGAATAAATCATTTCATGCATCAGCCATCAGAATTCCTTAAGCATTAAGAGGAATAAATTATTCTCCTTTTCTCCGAACTATTCCGATTATAACAATAATTTCATGCATCAGAATTCCTTAAGCAGAGGAGAAGAGGAGAAAGAATCCGACAATACTATAGGAGAATTAATGCTGAAGTAAAATGGGTCAATATTATATTTTTAGCGGGTCGGTTCATTAAATGGTTTAAATGAATATTTTTTATTTTTTTAAAATACTGATTTAAAAAATAAAATAAAATTATATCAGCAAATTTAAATTAAAAATTAATTAAATAGGTTAAATGACTTTGTAAGTAAAATATTCATAGTTGAGTGACTTTATAAGGAAAGCACTCATAATTGAGTGACTTTCTGAGAAAATAAATCATAGTTGAGTGACTTTTTGAGAAAAGAATTCATAATTGAGTGACTTTTGAGTTAAAATTCAAAGTTGAGTGACTTTATGAGAAAATAGTGCATAGTTGAGTGACCATATGAGATATTAACTCGATAAGAACAAGCTGGTACTTTTTTCCAGTCAATGAGTACTGAAAGAAGGAATCAGTGGGACACGAGCAGATATATCAGTCTAAGCAAGAAACCAGGAAAGAATTTTACAGTAAAAAAGTCAGGGTACAACCGCCAAAAGCAATGTATAGTTCTTTTACCTGTGCTGAAATAGCTTGACTAACCGTATACTCTGTTTCTGCAATGAATTGTCTCCACAAAGATAAACACTGCACTGGTGTGAGCAATGTGTTCTCTGGTGAAACCTAACAAACATTGTACTGGTAGTGAGCAAATTTATTGGTGAACGTCAAACAAATACAACTGCTAATGTAAATTCATTGGACCTCTTCCCACGAGCTTGAGGCTAGGGGGTCACAAGAATCTGCAATATCACTATTCCGAGAAGAAATTGAAATCTTCCCTTCCAAAAGTCTAGAGAAAAGTATGCTTTCTATTCTGTCTGATTTTTCATCCAACCGTATGGCAGCCACTATGGACAAAAGCTTCAGAGACTGCTCCAGATAGAACAAAGAAATGATAAGAAACTTTTAGTTCTGGGCACAGCAAACACACAGTCAAACAGTTCAAGATGAACGGTAAAAGCATCATATCCTTGCAAATACCTCAGAGCGGGCCTCCAATGTTATTGATTTAATGTCCTCCTTCCCTGTCCAAAGCCTTGGGATTGAATCGCTATCATGGCTGAACACAGTATTAAACCTAAAGCCCCAAGTTGTCAGTAATTTAAAGGTTAAGACAACAGAAGATCAAATATAAAAGAAAAGAAATTGTCCACCTATCCTTCATTCGCATCAAAACTTTTCCAGCTTCTTCTCTTGCTTTCTTCTCCACAACACTTCTAGCGTAGTCCTTCAGATTTTGCATCTTTCTGTCAAATGCATCCTGGTCCAATTCAAAGCCGGAAAGAGCTGGGGAGAAGCATGATATTGCCACATCAGTCTCGTGTTTTAGAAGCTTTCTTATTGAGGCCCATGTTTCACTCCCACCAACCTCAAAAAGGGATTCTACAGGTTCAGCAAGTGCAGCTGTGATTTGTTTCTGTCAAATAAAATCTGGCTAAGACATGTTTCCTCTAAAGTTATTGATTTGCTGATGAATAAATAAAAGGAATTAAGATAAACAAAACAAAGATGCCAGGGGACATAATTTTTACCAACTACAAATGGTGGATTTTCTACATTAGGAATCTTACCTCATAAGTGGCCTTCAGTTCTGATAACTTATCATTACGAACAGAGGACACATGGGACTCAATATCACGACAGAGTTTGTCACGAACTTTTGAAGCATCCCAATTAGCATGTCTTATGGCAGCATCTGAAATTGGTAAAGAGAGAATCTCAAATTAATGAGAGCGAAATGGTGGGAATGAACTTCCATTTCAATTACTACCAAGGCTTACTGCCTTACAGTCTAGTGGGATCATGGTAGTTCTCCACACAATAGGTGTGGTTTCAATTGTCAATATTTCATTCCTTGCACCTTCCCTTTCTCCCATGTAATGAAAATATTTTGGAAAAAAACTTCCATTTCAATTTATATTCAAGAATAACACAAAAACAAAAATATGTTGGTTTTTGAAAGATGGTGCTACAAAAAGGGTTAAAAGTATAGATTAAAAATATCTCTCAATATAAGAGGGCTTTAAATAGGCAACTTACAACAAAAAATCTGTATAATTAAAAGTTTTTGAAAGATGGTGCTACAAAAAGGGCTAAAAGTATAGATTAAAAATATCTCTCAATATAAGAGGGCTTTAAATAGGTAACTTACAACAAAAAATCTGTGTAAAAAACCCCTAAAATATCTCAACAAACTAAAAAAACCTAATAAAATCATCATAAACCTAAGCATTTCTAAAGTTAAAATTGGCTAAATTGGAGACTTCAACAGTTTTTTAAGACCTAACAATTCAAACCTCATGTAGAAGTACCTGAACATCCCTTATCAAATTCAGTGATACAAGACACAGAGCATGTACGAACAGATGCCGCAAATGCTTCTCCTCTACGTAATAATTGTTCCACCTGAGTCTTAAATGTTTGAAGTGATTTAACACGTAGATGCCCCAACTGTGAAATAAAAGCCGGATGGACCAACTGCAGAAAGATTTGCATGATGAGCATGTAAAATAATGGTGAAAGTTTATTCCTCTTATATATCATCACTTGAACGCAATAAAATTTAACTCTTACCTCACTACAGTGCACACAGAGAAGAAGAAACTTACATTAAGATGTAAGGAGTATCATTTTTCTATATAATGAGACATTTATACATAGAAATAGATGGATAAAGTGCGGGCAGATAAAGCATACATTCTGGTCAGAGGACGGATGTAAATAGGTCAGCGAGGGCTGGGAAAAGTAGACACTCAGGAGAATGAACTGTTTACACTTTCTAACAAACCACCCCTACTCGTCGAGGCTGTTTTGAGGTAGTGGTCGATTTGCTTGTCAAACTGCCACAGATCCTTGCTTTTCTCCCAAACTGCATCTTCCTTAGCTTTTCCCTTCCATTGCACTAAGAATTATATTTCATATTCTTCCTACTGTTCCCAACAACCTGGTGATCAAGTATTTCTTCAATTTTTGCTTCAAACTGCATTGGCACTGAAGGAGGAGTCCTCTTTAACCTGTTTCTGTCCGGATGATCAACATCTTCAAAATACCGGTTTCAGATAACTTACAATGGAACATTATATGAATTTTCAATCTTTCCAGCAACTTCAACTTATAAGCAACTTCACCTACCCTTTCGACTACTTCAAATGGTCTGTCATACCTTGGAAGGTGCAAGCTGTTATTGAGTGGCAGGCACCAACTGGTGTCAAGGTTTGCGGTCATTCTTGGGGCTCGCCAATTACTATCAGAAATTTATTGTTGGATATTCAAAGAAAGCAGTGGCCTTAACGGACTTGTTAAAGAAGGATGTTAAGTAGGACTGGTCGGAAAGATGTGATGCAGCGTTTCAGAATTTAAAGGAAGCCATTGCTTTAGAGCCAATACTTAAGTTGCCTTATTTTGAATTACCATTTGAAGGGCACACTAATGCATCCAACAAAGCTATTGGGGTGTGTGTTAGTGCAAGAGGTCATCCGATAGCCTTTGAAAGTCGGAAATTGAATGATGCAGAGCAGAGAGATTCTACTCACGAAAAAAATTTGGTGGAAATAGTGCACTGTTTGCAGACTTGGAGGGTATATTTGTTGGGTACTTGCTTTGTAGTATGGATTGATAATGTGGCCAATATATTTTTCAAGACACAAAAGAAGCTCAGTCCAAAGCAGGCGTGCTAGCAAGAGTTTTTGGCAGAATGACTTCATGTGGGAGCACAAACTAGGAAAGCACAACCAAATTGCTGATGCATTGAGTAGGAAAGAGGTATTTGCTTCTGTATTCCATTTCTATACTTGAGACTGATTTATTGGATAGAATCAGGTTGTGCGCTGTGAATGATTCACTCTATGCAAAATGGGTGCGTCAAGTTCAAGATGGGACTGTTAGAAGGTACTAGATGTAAGGAGGTGAACTGCGGAGAGAGTTGATGCAGGAGCCACTGAGCCAGGGAAGCACATGACACTCTGTGGGCGGATCATCCGGGTGAAGAACAAATGCTAGCCTTACTGTCAAATGAACTTTTGGTTGAAAATGGAAGATGATGTTGAATCTAATGCGAAGACTTCCATGTTTGTCAAATGGACAAGACTGAACATGAGGCAGGTTTGTTGCAGCCTCTTCCTATTCCAAAAAGGCCATGGTTATTTGTCTCAATGGGGTTCATTTCTGGATTTCCTAAAGTTGACGGTAATGCATCTATTATGGTCGTGGTAGACAGGTTCTTGTAATATTCTATCTTCATTGCTTCTCCAGTTGATTTCTTGTCGGAAGTTGCTACTAGTTTCTTCTACACACATGGTGAAATTCTTTGGTGTGCAAAGTGACATTGTAAGTGATAGGGATGAGCGGTTCACCGGTCAGTTCTAGATGACTTTGTCCAACATGATGGGAACAGACCTGAAATTTTCAACGGCTAACCATCCTCAAACTGATGGCCAGACAAAAAGGATCAACCACTTGCTGGAAGAATACTTGAGGCAATTTGTGACAACAAAGTCAGTGGAACTGGGCAGACTTGTTAAATACAGTGCAGTTTTGCTATAATCTACACAAGTCATCGGCAGCGGAGAAGAGTCCATTCGAACTTGTTCTAGGCATGCAGCCTATGACGCCCCTTGATATTGCAACACAGAAGTCATGGTATATGCTCAGCTGCTTACTGGTATGCAAAAGATAAGCATGAGATGCTTGTTGAGGCACAAAACAGTTTGAGGAAAGCCCAGTTTCACAAGTATGTTGATCAGCATAAACGTGCAGTTGAGTTCAATGTCGGAGACCTTAAGCTCACTCCCCAAATCTGGAAGCAGATTGTGAACAAGAAGAGACATAGAGGGTTGATTCCAAGGTATGACGAACCATTTGAACTAGTTGAAAGGGTAGGTGAAGTTTCTTATAAGTTTAAGTTGTTGGAAAGATTGAAATTCATCCCACGGTTCATGTAAGTTATCTGAAACCGTATTTTTAAGATGTTGATGATCCAAACAGAAACAGGTCAAAGAGGGCTTCTCCTTCGCGCCAACATAGTTTGAAGCAAAGATTGAGGAAATACTTGATCACCGCGCTGTTGGGAACTGTCAAAAGAATACTAAAACACAATTCTTAGTGCAATAGAAGGGCAAAGCTAAGTAAGCTGCAGTTTGGAATAAATGCAAGGATCTGCGGTAGTTTGACACGCAAATCGATGACTACCTCAAAACAACCTCGACGAGGACGTCGAGTTCAACTAGTGGAGGTAGTTTGTTAGACCCTCAGTCTCAAAGATAATTATCGTCAAGGTTTGTGCATTGGTCTTGACATGTGCTGTGACATGCTGTGCAAACGATGTACATGGTAGTGGCGACTTAGTGTGCGAATTCCAAGGTGCTAGAGGTGTTGGCAAGGCAGCCTTGGGCACAGCAGGAAAGGACAGGTGCATGACTGATGACACCTGATGGGAATGCCCGCGATAGTGGCACCGGCAAGGCAAGGTGGTGATGTTGGCTTGACGATGACAAGGCAAGACTGCACGATGAGGCATGGCATTGGAAGAAGCTGAAATAATTCTCAAGTGTTGGAAGGATACTGAAAAAATTCCAAGTGTTGAAGAAATGGAAATTCAGCTAAGGCAAAGACTTCCCATGTGCGTGACATGGGGTTGTTAAGTTCGAATTTTGAATGTTGTCTAGATGTTAGGACAATCAGTTCTGTACTTAGTTTTATTTGGATAGATTCTGTAAAAGTCACATTCCTGGCATGCTGCCAGTTATAACTAAATGTAATCTCTGTGTAACTGCCTGTGTGCAGATTTTATATGCTGGCAGAATTATTCTAAAGGCAGAGGGACTGTGTTCTATGTTTTAGAAAAATTTGTGAGCATATCGTTTTTGTATTCAGAGAGATCAATAAAAAGTTTGGGACTTGTTCCTGTAAACTGTTGTGTTCTTATTGTTCCTACGTTGCCTACGAAACAGTCTACGTACTTAGATGTTTGTGAGTGTTTGTGCCTGAGGTTTTGCATTGAGTGCATGACTGACAAGCAGTGGTGACGAAGAAAAAATCACCCCTGCTTTATCCTTTCTCTTCCATTGTGCAGTCAAACATGTTTAAAAATATGTGGACTCTTTCCCCACTTCCTGTGTTCAGTAATACATATTGGAGACTCTAATCTCGTAAATTTTGCAATTCCTGGGGTAATAGTAGATCTTGGTCAAGAAAATTCTTTCTAGAGTCTTGTTCTGCTAAACAAGTCGAGCACCATGTTCATTCTATCCATTCTCTAGAAAAAAAATTGCACGAAAAGCAAGGAATGTGTAGGCAAAGATATAATCTACAAAGACCCCTCTGGAGTAGATAAAAATTACATTCTAATAAAAGTACACTGGGAAGAGGTCAAGAGGGTAAAGATGAAACCAAACAAAATACAAATAAATAAATAAAAAACAAAAAACTAGTCTTCCAGATAGTGAACCAGATGAGTTATTAGCAAAATTAAAAATATGCAGTATAAAAACATGATTCCTCCAGAACGGTAACAGTAAGTCCATCTTGGGCGAGAGATTCGTACAGTGTTTACTGATCAAATTACCAAATGACTAGCAAAACTTAAAAGACGGAAGCAGATCCCATGCGAATTCATGAGGTAATTCATCCATGAAACAGTACAACACAAAGTTATATAGGCCTCACCTGCAAAGCTTTCGATATAAATTGTTGACGTTTTGAACTTCTCACGTTTTCTTCGAAAAAGACAGATTCCGCATCATATCTGTTAAAAGAGAAAACAGATAATTCAGAGCATCAGCTACAGCTCACTCTTAAGGACAAGACAAGAATTCAACCACCTGCTTTGCAAAGAGTCTTTCCTATTTATGGAGTCGCGAAACATCAAGTTCGGATGTTCAAATGCATGACATGCATATTAAATACAGGAGCACATAGCAAATTGTTCATTTAAGTCCTTATGTCAATGTAACCCATCTAAATGCTTATCCTATGTTAAGGGGAAGTTTGAAATATTTCTCTTTCCTTGTTTAGTTTTGACTTCAAGAAAAAGGAAAGAAATATCATTCCTTAAAATTCAAAGAGGGACAAGATGCGTCCCCATGCTGTGCTTCCCTCCGGCCTGTTCCTGGGTTAGGTTAGGGGAACACCCGAGTAATTGCTTCACGGATCCAAACATGTTCATAAGGTGCACTATAAGAATAAGACCAATAGAGACTTCATAGAGACCATTTGAGTTGCTGATCATAGTGCTCTTAGAGAAGCATATTTTGAATATATAGGAGTGAAAGTTCCCAATAAATAAGTACTTTTTCATATCCTTCTATGAAGGGTACGAGCACGTCCTCGGTCACCCCCACTGGAATCCGTCAAAAGTTTCTTCCTTTTAAGGATTCTATATAAATTTCTCTATAAATGGAGATTGTTGCCTTCTCATATAATTGCAACACGAGCGAAATGCCTACGCTTTACAATTCTGAAGGTGGAGAAAAGGTTATAACTAAACGGACTATTAATCCAACCTTCAGTTTGAAACTATTTTTGAGCGGTAGAAAGGGTCAAAAATAAGACGGTCCAAATTGGACAAACTCTACAAACCCCTCTGAGAACTCGTCTTTGAACAAATGAATGGAGTCGCTACAAAATTACAATACTACCAATCCTCTCCTTTGGGATAGCATTAGTGGTCCAACTAATATAGTTAAAACGCAGCCACTTACTCTGACAGAAAGTTATCTAAGATGGAGCTTAGTCGTCTTCCAAAATTTCGAACTGCATCCTCTTGCACTGCATGCTCAAGAGCTAGCCAGTCCTATATTGGAGTAACGATTGAGCACTGTATATTTATGTTCCAAACAAGAAAGTAGAAAGCAGTTGCTAGACCTCATTTATCATCAAACTACTGAACTTCTCATTTGCAATTTCTTCACAACGCACAGTGGCCACCATGACCTACAAAAGGCAAATAGTTTGATCATTATATCTTTTGAGTAAATAAGCTGTCAACTCATTACCCGGAATGCTTCACCTTGTGAGCAGGCAAGTCGAGATCCTTGTTTTCTTTGATGACTTTCCATATTTGCTGTACACTGTAAGAAAAACCAGAGGCTGGAACAACACCCCGCCTATCGCCAGCCAAGCCTCCTGGAGAGATGGAGTGGAAAAAAAGCTGCCTAAGTTGAGCAACCTGAATGAACAACGTACAAAGCCAAGACATGTAAAAATCACTTAGAACAGGTAACCATCAGATTCACAAAATGACAACAATCTGGTACTAGCAGATATTATGCAGCTAAAAAAGACTTACCTGATCTTTAAACTGCTCTTCCTTCTCCTCATAACTGGGTAGAGCAGTGACTTCTACCTTCACATCAGAGAAAGATAAATAAGGAAACTTAAATATAGACAGCTGTACTGATAACATAAGAACACAGGAAAAACCCTCACATTGAAAAATTCACAGAGTTGGGTGTCCTTGTGTGCTTGTGGCTTTCGAACTGCATCCCATATCTGCAAAATTAGTTACTCCTAATAAGACTGAACACAAAATATTTCATTCTTTTGCCAGATTATTTTTCATAGCAGTAGAGAGGAATAGACAAATTCAGTTAGAACAACAATCACTTCAAAGCGACAGCAAATTCATTTACCTTCTGGATATCCTCCCTCAGAATAGGCTCCAGATATTCTAGTGGAGTCTGCAAGTGCAAGGAAATTTGAAAAAATCGGTGGCCAATACTATTCAGGAATGTAAATAGTAAGCAACTAGTGAATCTTAAAAACATGTTGAATAGAAAGATATACCAGACCTTTGTTTTATCACGTATAACAAAAAGAAGGGTAGTTTTGCGGGGACTAAACAAACGCATCATGACCTAGCAAACAAGAAAATATTCAGACAATTGAAGAATCAATCACTTGTAAGGAGCCAAATAAACTAGAGTTTACCTGAAATACTGTTTTGAGAAGAGGTTTATTGGCAGCCTGCTCCCTACCAATATCATGGCACCACCTGAACACATAGGAGGAATATCCCAGTCAAACAACAATTCCATTAAAGGTGATCTTAACCGATGGTACATGCAAAATTAAAGAGGAACGCATACCCAAAACCAGTAAAAAATGTTCTTTTTAGGGAAATTCTCATGAATATGAAAAAGGACTTCAACAATAGCACGTTTAGGAGTGAAGTTAATTTCCTATGCTGCCACTTACAGACGGCAGGTAACTAGAAGTTAAGCAATAAAAGACCCTCTAACAATGCACTCAGGTCCAAGAAGCCAATCATGTCTTCAAAGCTGCCACGTATTCTGAATATAAACAAGTTGTTCAAGATAAGTGCATTATCAGTTTCTCGGGAGGCAGAAAGACTACCCAGATGCAGTTCTATCAAGGTATCAACCATATGTTAATCTAAGATAAATCTAGAAGTCATGTCAAAGAGATTAAAAAAAGATAGTCAAGGATGTTATATTCAAACTAAAGAAACTGAAAAATTCAGTGATCTATAATAAGGGTTAGATGAGCAAGTTAATTTCATTTTTCTCAGTCACCAAACATCATGCTACAAACAAACTCACATGTTTATTAGCACAACATCTGCAACAGCCAAAGCAAACAAGGCACTTTGTTTCTCAAATGTTGTATCGTCCTGCAACCAAGAATTTCCACCACAGTGAGATAATGTAGAGTACAGTAAGTTAATTGACTTAATTCTGATGGGAAAACAACAATCTGCAAGCACATAAGTTTCGGAAGGTGATGGATGTGCGGTTGTAAGCTAAGCTTAATTAAGCATTACCATTTGTAAATGTAATAATTACACCCTCTACAGAAAGGGAGCTTCATTGCTAATCCGTGTACATGAATTGGTATGGGCAACATAGAAATATACTAACTTCATCCGAGAGAACGGAAAATATAAATGACAAACACCATACAAATATTAATTTCAATTATGGACTGCAAAATATTTCTAGAGAGATCTTTGGTCTTTTATCTATTTAACAGCATGGGTAGCGAAAGGTATCTACTTTGAGGGGGATAAGACATAAATAGCAGAGGAAACATAATGTATAGTACACTATAGAGCCTAGAGGCTAGAACCATAAAACTTCATCAGTGATATTGATCACTAGAAACTTGTGGCACACTCCTCAACGAATTTCCAACATCATGATAATCTTCTTCGGCTTGGGTTTTATTTTTTTTTGAGAAGGTAACATTTGTATTTCTATTTCCAAAAAATCAAAACCTGCCACAACATGTTACAGATTCCTAATTACAGATTAAAGAGAGTATAACAGAAGATCTTCAATCCTATGACAAAATTTACAAAAATTACAGGGATCATAAGACATTCATAACTGATTCTAGATCTTCCATATACTCCTGTTTACACCAAAAATGAAACAACACAAGACAATTCATCTTCATCTTCTGAATAGTGTTGCTCTTGTTCTGATGACATCTAAGGTTCCTTTCTTTCCACGTTGACCACCAAATACAAGCTGGGATGATTTTCCATCTCTCCCTATGTCCTGAGATGCTGGGAGGGTTTGGGTTACTCTCCTTGGCATCACCCACTTCAGTTCTTTTTTATTGATGAAGAGGTCCCACAGTTGGTTGGTTATCCTACAGTGAAGAAACAGGTGAGTCACCGTCTCAGCCTTTTCCCCACATAGGAAACATCTAGGGCTCAATTGGATACCCCTCTTCATGAGATTTTCCTGAGTCAAAACAGCCTGTTTAGCAAGTAGCCAAGTAAAACAAGACACTTTGTAGGGAATTTTGGCTTTCCAAATCATTTTCCAGGGCCACCCATTAATCTGGGTATGGAAAGGGTTGAACTTTTTGTAAGCCCCCTTGACACTGAATCTTCCTTGCTTGTGATCCTTCCATTCCAGGCAGTCTTGGACAGTGTTTCCTCCTCTGAATTGTTCCAGAGTTCTGTAGAATTCTACTACTCTCTGGATCTCCCAATCATTGAAGGGTCTTCTAAAGCTCAGATTCCATCCTTGGTTTGACCAAACCTCTGCCACAGTAGCCCTCTGTTGTTGGTTGAGGATGAACACATCAGGGAAGAGTGTTTTTAAGGGACCTTGTTCCAGCCAGCTATCTTCCCAAAATGAGACCTTCACATCGTTTCCAATTTTGATTTTGCAATTCCCTCTAAGTTTTGGCCATAGGTTCCTTATGGTTCTCCAAAGGCTAGTTCCATAAGTGTTGGTCACCATGCTAGTTGACCAATGATCTTCCATTTCATATTTTGCCTGAATCACCTCCTTCCACAAAGCTTGTTCATTGGAGGCTAGTCTCCAGAGCCATTTCATTAGTAGACATTGGTTCTGAGTCTTTAAGTTTCTCACCCCTAGACCTCCAACTTGTTTATTCCCAATCAAGGCTGCCCATTTAACCAAGTGAAATTTTTTTGTCTCGCTGTTGCCTTCCCATAGAAAGTTCCTTCTTAGAGCATCCAATCTATCAATTACTCCATCAGGGATAGGGAAAAGGGACATCATATAACTAGGCATAGAGTCCAAGACACTATTAATAAGTGTTAGTCTTCCCCCTAGGGAAAGATATTGACTCTTCCAATTCACTAGTCTTCTTTCACACTTTTCAATCACCCCATTCCAAATACCTAAAGACCTGCTGTTAGCTCCCAGAGGCATCCCCAGATAAGTCGTAGGGAGGTCACCAATTCTTCCACCAAGGGTCCTAGCCAGAGAGGATAGGTCAGGAACTACATTAACTGGAAATATGAAGCTCTTATTCCAATTTATATGAAGTCCTGATACTGCTTCAAAGAGAATAAAGATCACCCTTAGCATCCTGAGTTGTTCTTTATTGGCATCACAAAATATGAGAGTATCATCTGCGTATTGTAAATGGGTGATCTCCAGTTCGCATCCCACTCTGTTTGATATTTTGAATCCCTTTAGCCAAAGGTTCTCTCGAGCAGTTTTCAGCATATCACTTAGCCCTTCCATTGCAATGATGAATAGAAAAGGTGATAGAGGGTCACCTTGCCTTAGGCCTCTTTGAGCAGAGAAGAAGCCTGTAGGTGAGCCATTGATAAGAACTGAGTATTTGACAGTTTGAATGCAAAATTTCATCCATCTTAGCCATCTACCACCAAAACCTCTTTTATCAAGAGTTTCCCACAAAAACTGCCAATTTAGGTGATCATATGCCTTCTGTATGTCCAACTTGCAGAGAATTCCTAGAGCATTGCTTCTGGTTCTAGAATCCACACACTCGTTTGCCATGAGGATGGCATCCATTATTTGCCTACCTTTAATGAAGGCCAACTGTTGAGTGTCCACTAGTTTATGCATCACCTTTTTGAGTCTCTCAGTAAGAAGCTTAGAAATGATCTTGTAAACACTACCAATTAGGCTGATTGGTCTGAAGTCAGTAAGTTCCTTTGCACCTATCCTTTTGGGAATCAAGGCAACATAAGTTGAGTTGAAGCTTTTCTCAAAAACACATCTCTCATGGAAATTCTTAACAGCATTGATAACTTCTCCTCCTATGACTTCCCAACAGTGCGTAAAGAAAGCCATGGTATAACCATCAGGCCCAGGTGCCTTGTCTCCGGCACAAAGCTTTACACTCTCCCATATCTCTTGGTCCTCGAATTCCTTTTGAAGCATAAGATTATCTTCTTCAGAAATTATTTGTCCTCCCCTGTAATTGCCTGAGGGTCTCCAGGTCTCAGTTTTAGTGTACAATTCCCGGTAGAAATCCACTATCGCTTTCTTTATAACTTCTGGACTCTTGACTGCTTCCCCATTCACATTTAACTCATCAATAGAGTTATACCTTTTGTGTGCATTGGCAGTTCTATGGAAGAATTTAGTGTTATTGTCACCTTGCTTCAACCAATTAACCCTTGACCTTTGTCTCCATGATATCTCCTCATACTTGGCAATGTTCTCGAACTCTAGGAGAAGTTCAGCCTTTGAGTGTATCTCCTCCACATTGAGAATTCTCTGGTCCTGTGTTTCCTCAAGTTCAGCAAGTTGACTGAGAATACTTTGTTTTTGCAAGGCTAGATTACCCTGACCAGACTTGCTCCAGTCCCTTAGTTTGTTTTTTAAAGCCTTTAGTTTGAAAGCTAGAATAAAGTCAGGTCTTCCTTCACATGTCAAGGAAGTCCACCACTCCTTGACCCTTTCCAAGAAACCCTCTGTGTGTAACCACCAATTTTCGAATTTGAAGTAAGATTTCGCAGGCTCCCAGTTCCCACATTGCAACATAATCGGAGTGTGATCAGATGTTACTTTTGGTAGAACTGATTGCTTAATGTTTTTGAAGCCTTCATCCCATTCATTAGACACTAGGAATCTGTCTAATCTAGCCGCAACATCATGTCTGTCTCCTTTCCTCCAAGTATATTTACCACCTGCTAGTTGAGGGTCCAGCAGATTCAGGTCCATAATGAATTCAGAAAAATCGTTCATTGCTTTTGATATTCTGCCGCAGTTCTTCTTCTCTGAAGGATATCTAACTGTGTTAAAATCTCCACAAACCACCCAGGGCCCATTGACCAGACCTCTCGCTGATCCAACCTCCCACCAGACTTCTTCTCTTTCTTCTCTATTGTTAGGAGCATAGACACCGGTCAGGAGCCAGGTGAATTCTTGATTCTTGCCTGTAAACTGGCATGATATAGAATAGGCTCCTACACTGCTGATAGCTCCCTCCCAGACTTTCCCATCCCATAGAATTAGAATGCCCCCTCTAGTCCCACTAGCTTCAAGTTGGCAGAACTTTACTCCTCTATTAGCCCACAAATCTTTTACAATGTTACTGATATCCCCCTCAATCTTAGTTTCTTGGAAGCAATACACATCTGCTTTCCATTCATGAATTAGATTCTTGATAACACACCTCTTGTTTGCCTGGTTAAGGCCTCTCACATTCCATGTGATTATCTTCACTGTCATTGGGAACTTGGAGCGGTATGGGTTTTATTTTGCTCCCTAAGATCTTAAAGTTTCAAATCCCTGAATGTTCTAGCATGTCTGATGGAGCTCATTCTACTATACCATAATCAGCATAGCTGTCCAACTTAACTAGTCCACCATGAGGACATTGTTAGAAGAATAATTGTATCTTTGTTGCTTCGTTAAAAAGGTTGACCAAAACTAAAAGTGAACTGCCAAGGTTTTAAAGTTAAATGGGTTTATAAGACACCTCTTGAAGTATGGCATCTTATGTGTAGCTACCAGGTTATTATTTCTAGTTTAAATACAAAACTTGTGTCAATATAATATAGCGTTATGGTCCTCAAACTATGTAGAATTTCTTTTATGATTTCCCGTTGTCAAAAAATTATGAACAACTTACGTCTATGTTTGGAAGACCAACAACCGCAAGATGCAAGGATTTTAGCCATTCTAATGGATTCAAGTATGCTTCCGCATCTAGTTTTATGTTCTTGATGATTTGACATGGTAGATCTTGGGAAAGATGATGGTTTTCATCTTAAAGTGTTTTGGTTCCAAATAATTGGTATCAGAGCTTATACTATGTCTACTCATTCAGACTTTTGTGTGTTAAAAAAAAGTTTCAAGCATATAGTAGGCGCTTCTCTGCCGTCAATCTAGTAATTTGGAATTGGAGCTCTGACCTCCTTTTGAG